GTGTTTACGGTGCAGTTTCCTTCAGTAATGTGATGCATTTCCATATTTTGACTGTTGTCCCAGAAATAAGCGTCCTGCAAGTCACTTCAGATAAAAGCATATGCTAAATGACACATAGAACAGACTATATAGGTGCTGTTTCCATGACTGTCCACTAGAGCGCAGTGTTATTCAGAAATAAACCGCATTTATTTTGGCCATCAGAACAGAAGAGCTCAGTGGACTCTGGGGTTTCTAAACCAAACATCAGTTTTCCCAGGCCCTTCTCACATCTCTGGACTATTAAAAGAAAACTGCAAATGCACAGCCGCACTCACAGACTCATGGAGCTCCGGCGCAGAGAACCAGACTTTCTCTTCAGCGTGGTGCAGATGAGCAGATCGCTGAACAGAAACAGAGATCGGTCTTTTTTACTGCCCACCGTTTTCTACAGCACAGAGAAGGACAGAGATTTAGGAAGCTCATACGTTTGCTTAAACTGATTTGATTTCTTGTGCTTATTTGTGCTCACCGCTTCCACCACCATCTCTTGTCTTAGAAACGTCCTCTGCGGATTCAGGATCTGACAGGAAAATACATTATTAGGTATTTCTGAAGGCAAACTAGTCTTTATACTACTGTAACATGTTTGCGTGGTATCAATCGAACATATTTAATCAGATTTGGACCCAAAACTGTAAATACACTGAAAAAAAGTTCTTGCTCAGTAATTGTGTCTTTTTCACCAGTACAAATACCTTAACATATTCAACCTTGTTTTCTGAAAAACAATAAGAATATCTTTTAAAATAACTTTTTTCCATTGACACATATTTTGTGCAAAAATGTACTTATTTTGATGCATTTTTCACAAAACAAGACTTAATATCGTACAGTAAGGCAAGGTATATTTATATGGTAATTTAAAGTGCTTTACATAGAGGGATTTAAAAAAATAATCACAAAAGATGCGTAAGAAATAAAAATCTATTTTAATCAATTTAGTTTTTGTTTGTACATATTTAGTCAATGTGAAACATTTTCTTACTCACTATTTTTGTCTTTTTCTACCAGTACAAATATCTAAACATAAGATGACATAAAATATTAAGTCTTGTCTTCTGAAAAATGTATACAAATTAAGTGAGTTTATGCTTAAAACAATCTGCAAATGGGGTCATAAAAATAAACTTAATTCAAAGAGAAAACAAGATTTTTTTCTTGATTTTAAGCAAAAAAATCATTTAAAGGTGCAGTGTGTAAATTTTAGCGGCATCTATTGGTGAGGTTGCGAATTGCAACCAATGGCTCAGTCCCCCGCTCACCCCTCCCTTTCGAGAAGCTACGGTGGCCAATACAGGACTAAGATGTTGTCGGTAAAGACCATAGACTGTATAAAAACATGGACGTAGTGTCCGTGACGTCACCCATATGTTCCTGAAGAGCATTTCTGAAGCTCAAAGTGGGCGGAGCCGGCCGTCACCATCTTGGCAGTGCGTCACCGCGCGTCACTCCCGGGTAATCAAAAATGGGCAAAAAGGCGGGAGCTGGCTGCTGAAACCACACCCACCTAGCTCGACGGTGGTGACAGCAGCGGCAATCCACCTGTCACTCAAGTGGCCACGCCCTTAATTATGCAGAACTTTAAGGCTTAATATAATTTAAACGGATGAGTTATAAAAAAATTCACCCCCCTCACAGTTGTCATGAAGGGCAAAATTAGCTATATACCGGCTGTAAACATGTTTTTTTCTGCTGTAAAGTTGGGCATTTTAACATGGGGAGTCTATGGGATTGACTCCCTTTTGCAGCCAGCCTCTAGCGTCCAGTCGATGAATTACAGTTTAAGTCACTTCCGTGTAGGTTTCACGAGAGAGAGCGGGAGGTTGCCACTTGGTAAAGACAGCAGAGAGCAATGAGATTTCTTTACAAAGGTAAATTAAGGAATTATATTTACTTAATTATTCAATAAATCGATGTTATTGCGAATATTAATGTACTTGTTCATCATTGTGTCAGTGTTTTATTCGCAAGAACAACAAAGTGATGAAACGCGCTGTTTCGTCCGAGTAGAGCAGTTTGTCCGTTTAGGGCTACTGTAGAAACATGGTGGCGACTTCCATGTAAGGGGACCCGCGGTGTATGTCGATTATTGCTCAATCTAAGGTAATAAAAACATAACGGTTCATTAAGTAAGGTCTTTATACACCTCTGAAAACATAGTTATGTATATTATATTGCATTTCTGTAACTAGATCGATGTAAATATTACACATTGCACCTTTAATTGATGTTTTTTTCATAAAACAAGACTTAATGTCATCTTGCTTCTCAAATAAATATATCTTGATTAAAGAATGTTTAGATATTTGTACTGGAAAACAAGAAGAATATTAAAAAAGCATTTTTACAGTGTATAAGTAAATGTAATGGTTGTCTAGTCATCCAACAATCAACTACTAGTGGATTAGGCAAGGTAACTTAGTTTATTTACATGGCAAATTTCATATACAAAGCTAATTTCAAGTGCTTTACATAAAAGTGATTTGAAAAAAAACTTTAAAAATCTTAAAAATGGATTTAAAATAATTTTTTAATCAAAGTAGTGGGTCTCACATGCTCCACGCCCTCGATGTGCGCTTCGATCTCCTGCATGACACGCGTCTCTCTCTCCAGCTCCTCCGCGGTGCGCCGGCCCTTGTTGATCCTCTCAGCCAATCGCTTGATGTTCTTCTGGGCATCCTGCAGGAACAGGTAGTCGGGGTGATCCTCAGGAGTGTGTTTCAGAAGATCCTGAAGCACAGAAACAGAATGGTTCATTTAAAAACTAAACTACCAAAACTACAGCTAGTACCTAAAAAAACACTTATAAAATGTATAGTTTCAGTCCTAGATATTCAAGGACGGCATCTTATAGCAGAATGACAATGAATTTAAGCATTTTGTCCTTAATATTAAGAGACAAGATGAGTAAATATGAAGGACTTTAACTAGCTGCTAAACGGTTACCACATACAAAACATGCCTGAAGTCAGGGCTGATCGATTTGTGAAAAATCAAATAGCATTTTTTTCTGATAAAAATTGCGATTTAAAATGTGATTTTTTTTTTAAAGAGCTCCAGATTTTCTGTACTTGTTTGTAATTTTATGGTTATTTATCAATATGACTATTCAAAATCATTATTAGGATTATTATTATTTTTAATTTGATAGAAATTATTACATAAATTTTAGTACTGTAATTTTACAGTTAGACTGTAAAATAAAACTATTATTTTTTATTAAGTACTCTAACAATAGTGTATTATTACTACTACTACTACTACACTTTTAAATAAAAAGTGTATTTAATAAAAAATATAATTATTTTATTTTACAGCACAACAGTAACATTACAATATTAAAATGTATGTCCTAATTTCAAACATTAAACCTCTGAGCTTTCATTAAGGGGAAAATCTTAAATGTAGGTTTATAAATGCTTCTCATTACAAATTTGTTCAAATGGATGGCACATATTTTATTCCCAAATTAACATTATAAGTGACACAATGATGCAGAGATGCATTTACTGTGAACCGAGCCGCTGAAAATCACCGTTTTCAAAAGCTACATGCCTGTGAATGAACACGGTTAGCAGTTACAAACACGCTGTGCATATGTTTAAATAAAATGCAGTCTTTTGCGAATTGGTAATTGCAAGTTATATTGCAATTTTGATTTTATTTCTATTAATTATTCAGCTCTGCCTGATGTGTTCCAAACAAATAAGACATGTTATCAATAAAAAACAAACAGGCACAAAAAGGTAAAAATAAAAGGGTGAAGTTTAGTGTCACCTTAACAAGCAGCTCGTATCGTGGGATCCGCTGCACTGGCTTTATCATCAGATCACCCAGAGCTTGTTTCTCTTTATTCTCACGCATGTTTTGCTGAAGAGGAAAGAGAGAGACAAACAAAACAAAACAAGTTTAGAAGAACAACTATACTTTATCTTGATTTTAACTACATGTGTACAGTTTATCCAACCATGCTTTACTAGATAACCTGGTTTTGGGTTAGTTTAAAGAGGCACCATTAGAGGGCAGTAACCCTCAAAATGCCAAAACAAACACTTTATGATTAAGCTGAGAACATATGAAAGCATAAATATGCTTATGAAAGGAGGGAATTTATGTGCATGTTTACATTGCATATATATATATATATATATATATTAGAAATGTTGCTTTGGAAACTAACTGAAATAGGTTCAAGATTACTAAAAGTAAAACTGATATAAAAAAAATAATAATAAAAAAGAAAACTAAACAATATGAAAATAAAAGCTATTTCAAAACATTAATAAATACTAGTATAAATAATACTAAAATAACACTGGTTTAACCTCATGTGTGTCACCATCTCTGGCTAAAGACATTAATAGTCCAACTTAAACACAGAAAACGAACCCAGTGTAGCTGTTTTTACAGTTTCTTTGCACAATGACAAAATCTATATCTTTAAAGCTTAACTGTGCCAAATGGCCAAGAGCTGCCAAACAGCCTCTCGAGAGGATCATAGCAGTGTAAAAGTGTTTCTGTGCGTGTGTGGAGGTAGAAATAAAGTTGTAATGTACCTCTAGAAACTTTAGGAAAGCAGGCTTGGCTTCCTTGGCGATTCTCACTGCATCTTTGGCATTCATGAAGTTGTCGATGTACGCTGAATAAATATTGGCGAGGATCTCTTTGGAAAACTGTGAGGAGAAAGCCGAGACATTAGCAGCACTGAACAGAACAGCTGTGCACCTTTACCAACTCAAATCATTGATAGAAACCTTTTTGAGGAGCAATATTGGCCTTCGAGAATTTTGAAATGTTACCATGTTCAAAAAAACAATACCAAGGTGCTTTTTGTTACTCAAATGGCTTCCTATGTGATAGTAGGACAACATTGAGTATTATTTTTGTCAACGGATGGTGTGTGTGGACAGGCAGTCCTCAAATAAATCTCTTTAGCGGGTCGTGAGGAGAGACAGCAGTGGTATATATATATATATACATACTGTATATAAATAAAGAAATAAAATAAAAAATAATAAAAATAAAATATTTTATGTACAGCTGCCTAAGGTTTCATTGTGTCTAGTTTGCAGTTGTACTGAAACATTAAAGTGTACATGAACGTAAAATATAATATAAAAAAAAAACAAAAAACAAAAAAAAAAAAAGTAAACTATTTTAAACTTTATGCACACCCCCCAACGCTCAGATTTCCTTGTGTCTAGTTCGCATTTGAACATTAAAAGTACACATGAAAATAAGTTTCATAGTTTATGTACTGCCAGCCGATGCTCAGGTTTCCTCATGTCTAGTTTGTAGTTGTACATTAAAGTGCACATGAATGTATTATAACAAACGTAATATAAATAATTAGATATTTTAGATTATCGAATAAGGTGAATGACCCTTGGTTTTTCTGTTTTGTTTTTGGTCATCCTGACTTCAGCATGTGACTTGGGTTGTATGTTATTTAATAAAAGTAATAAAACAAGATAATGCTCCTTTCTTGCAGTACAAAAAATTAAAACCTTACTGCCACAATGCTAAGTGTGTGTGTATGGGGGAATCAAATCAAAGTTTGTAATGTTAAGATGCATCTCAGTGCTTTTTAAAGTCCCTATGTAAAAAAACGAATGAGAAAAATGTCTCTCAGAACCATAAAAAACATCAGAATCATTACAAAACAACAATGAAAACACTAAATTACACTCAAATTACAACATGAGCGTAGGCATGGAGCATAAGAGACATGAGCATTTAATGTCACAGGGTTCAGTCCAGCCCTAAAGCTTAAAGAAACTCATAAAACTGAATTACAGTGTCTAAACGAGCAGCGGATCTCGCTGCTAACTACCTGAGTTTGTCGACTCATTTACTCAGAGCTCATAAAAATCCTGCATTTGATGTGAGAACGTGAATCTGACAGGAATGTCTAAACAACACTGAACTAGCAGTGGTAAGACGGTTTTAGACAGATTAAAACCCCACACTGAGACACTCAGCGTTCCTTCAGCTTATACTCAACAAACTGTTAGGCTGCGTCACAATTAGCATACTTACACAACACACTAAAAGTGATGGGAAAGTACATAGACTAGAGTTTGGGCTCGGTAAGATTTTTAAAAATAAGTTTTTTATGCTCACCAAGGCTGCATTTATTTATTAAAAATACAGTAAAAACTGTAAAAATGTGAAATTATTACAAATAATAATTATTATATATAAAAATGTAATTTATTCATGTGATCAAAGCTGAATTTTCAGCATCATTACTCCAGTCTTCAGTGTCACATGATCACTGTTTATTAGCAATGGTGAAAACAGTTTTGCTGCTTCATATTTTTGTGGAAACTGTGCTATATTTTATTTTCAGGATTCTTTGAAAGTTTAAAAGCATTTATTTGAAATAGCTATCTTCTGTAAAATTATAAATGTCTTTACTGTCACTATTGATCAGTTTAATGTGTCCTCGCTGAACGAAAGTATTAATTTCTTTCAAAACCTTTGAATGGTAGAGATGATACTTAAGGTAAGACGAGGACCTAGCAGCAGGAGAAATGGTGTGTGTGTGTGTGTGTGTGTATTTGTGAAGGACAGAGCATCACGACAGCACAGACCCCAACAATGTAAGTCCGGTGAGGTGAGACAGTGTGGCATCTATGTCGGCTAATAAGCTGACATCTCTTTAGGACGGAAAACAAACGTCTGTCAGTACCGTCTGAGAGGAGACCGCGGTTGAGCGGCTCCAGCCTAGCGTTCTCATGCACTAGCGGAGCGGATCTCTGGCTAAATGCACCACCCTTGTGTGTGGCCAATTACAGAGGATGAATGACATCATCATTATGAGACAAGGCGTTAATGTAAAAATAGCAGGAAGCGAAGAGTATTTAAATATCTCCTGCTTACAGCAAAATTTAAATTGATTTCTGAACCAGGTCTTAAAGGCTGTAAACTTACTTGGGAGTTGGGACATTTAAGTAAGGAATGTGATAAACACACACACCACACAGACACACACACACACACACACACACACACACACAAATAAATCCACAGCTGCACACGTCTACTATGCACTTCACTAGTTATAGGAGAGTACACACTTCTGAGTATGTAATAAAATCGTAAGTCAGTATTGGGACATGTTATGATGTCAAACAATAGTGTTTTGATTCAGACCACTGTGTTTACATAACTTATTTATTCAATTATTATCTTAAATGAATTACCTTAAAATTCATCATTTTCTAAACTTTTTTCAGGTTCAGCTAAATGCTTCAGTTTTGAGGTCTTTGCCATTTTTCAACACATCAATAGAGAACAATCATAACTTCACCTCTGTGTCACAAGGAGTTGCAGGTAACAGTATCTCGCACGGATAAACACTTCAAAAATCCACTAGAAGTACTACAACATCCACCATTAGTCGGGCCCTGTGAGATTAGCTTTATTTTTCCCAAATTCTATGTTTTCTAAAGATGTCTAATCAATTGAATAAAACTTTAACAATAATAATTTATTACAATTTTAATAATAATAGTGCTTTATGAAATGTTTTATTTTTTTATTTTTTGAAAATTGTATATTTCCAAAAAATGTATAAATGGCATTATTATTATTAATAATAATTACTTTGAGAAGTACGTTCTGCTATCCAACAGTAATTAATTTCTTTCATAATTTCAAACCAAACTTATATTTTGGCAGGCTATAGTGAAGACCTCTGAGTTTCTGTATGTATCTGATGATAGTTTTATCAAATGAAATGGCGAAATTCTTGTGAAATTTGAATTTGGCCTTATTTTCCACATTGCAGAAAACAAAGGGCCCCATATTAGCATCCAATTATCATTATATTTTTTTATTATATTTTAATATTCACTATATATATATATATATATATATATATATATATATATATGT